CTCGCGCTGAATTTGCTATTGGCACTCTTTTGAGACGAAAATACATCCGTTTCTGAATTTTGACTTTTTCGCAACAAAGTGGTGGCGGCGAGACTTGTGTTCACAGTCATGTTGACAACAACGCCACCGACTGTTTGTTTCATCATTGTGTATCGTTTGCACGGGATATCTGCTTTAAAACCGAAGCGGGTCTCATAAACAAAGCCATGGAAATTTGCGCACATCAAGAATGCTGCATGTTTCAAGTGGTAGAAACTTGCTGCATTATAGGTCATTAAACGCAGAATCCCACTGCAAACACGATGATGTAACATAAAAACATAACAAGTGTATAGTTTTGGGTTATTCGAAAAACTATTCACAAGCCGCGCTTGATGCGGATATTCCAATTGCTGTAGGAACTGTTTGCATACACAGAAACACTTGCCGCTTCATCCACACAATAAATCGACCATGCCCTTTCATTCTGTAAGAAAAAATTCGCGTTCAAATATTTTCATCTTATCCGAAAAAGGTGTCACGCCCAAATTTTTTCGACATCACCCGACGATCAAAAATGTGGTAAACAACAGGTAACGACGGTACACATCGTTTACAAAAAGGAGCCTTTTATTTTCATTTGTTCGAGAGATATGAGCTTGGAATGTTTTACAACCCCAAAAATGGCCGTTTTCAAATTGTGCACAGGTGTTGCGTTACACCTGTTTTGACTTACAATTGCCTTCCCGTGCTGTCGTGTGACACTAACTGTCCAATGCCGACAGGTTTTCAATTAGGTAGAACCAACGTGAAATTATGTTGAAAAATGGCCATCTCGTGCAAAACGCGTCATCCGGCACAGAACATGCAGCCGCATCGCGCTCGCGCTGAATTTGCTATTGGCACTCTTTTGAGACGAAAATACATCCGTTTCTGAATTTTGACTTTTTCGCAACAAAGTGGTCGCGGCGAGATTTGTGTTCACTTGCAAGCTGACAATTACGCCACTGAGTGCTTGTTGCATTATTGTGTATTGTTTGCGCGGGCAATATTCTTTCAAACGGAGCGGGTCTCAGAACCGTGGAATTTGCGCGCATCAAGAATGCTGCATGTTTCAAGTGGGACAAAGTTGTCGTATTTTAGATCATTAGGCGCGGAATAGGACGGCAGACACGATGGTGTAACTTAAGAAATTAAGATGTGTATAGTTTTTAAGTTATTTGAAAAAAGCACTCACATGCCGCGCGTGATGCATACTTTGAAATTGCTGTAGAAACTGTTTTCATGCGCAGAAGCACTTGCCGCTTAATCCACACACTATATGGACATGAACTTTCATTCTGCAACAAAAAATTGCGTTTAAAAGTTTTCATTTTTTCGAAAAAAAATTGTCACGCTTAAATTTTTTCCTCATCACCCTTTGATCCAAAATGTGGTCAGCACCTCGTAAGATCGTTTTACATTGTTTAAAAAAGCAGCCTTCTATTTTCATTGGTGCGAGAGATATGACCATGGAGCGTCTTAGTACCCAAAAAAACGGCCGTTTTCTAAGTCTGCACAGGTATTGCGTTACATCTGTTATGACACACAGTTCTGACGACAGCCTTCCCGTGCTGTCGTGTGACATAAACTGTCCAATGCCGACAGGTTTTCAGTTGGTTACAACCAACGCGAAATCATGTTAAACATGGCAGTCCGTGCCAAACACGTCAACCGGCACAAAACATGCATCCGCATCGTACTCGCGATGAATTTGCTATTGGCCATCATTTGAGACGAAAAAGCATCGCTTTCTGATTCGTAAAACAAAGTGGCCGCGGTAAGATTTGTGTTCACTTGCATGTTGACATCAACGCCACGGAATGTTTCTTCCATCATTGTGT